CTATACAACGAGAACCTGCCGGTATGACCACTTATTTGTTTACGGGCCGTCAAGAATGTAGAACAATCTGCCTAAAAGACCTTCCTTAGAGGTACTAAACTTAGGCAGTTCAAATATTTGAGCAGCAAGGAACCTTCAACTGCTTCACAGCAGTCCCCAAATAATGGTATATATGCAGAGAAACCGTCAAGAAACAAAAGAGGTAAATGTGTGTATGACCGTTGTGACACAGTCAGTCGAGCTCTATGACTCCTTTCGTTTGTCGTTGATTTGATCAACTGGTTCTTCAAGGTTTATTATTTTTATTATTTCCTTGGATGAATGCTCTTATATATTGTCCAAAGAAAAACAAGACAATACTAAACTAAGTGCCTAAGATAAACATAACATATGTGATACTTTAGTTTATTGCAGTTAACTGTGGCAACTCTGTACAATACGTAATAAATATAACGTTTATGCCCTCACAAAGAGCCACCTTCTTGGAATCTAGGCGGTATTCAGGTACCCCCAGTCCTTTTTCGTGAATGGTGGGCCTGTTAACGCTTAATTTCTGTTTACATATTGTTTTAGCCCAGGCACTTCTGGGAAGCCGACGACATGCCATGAATGGGACAGGGTAGAAACCACCCAAAATATTTGCGTTTCCAGTTAAATAAGCTGCATTCCTCTGAAAGGAAGGTAAAATTTGTTAAAGCTAATAAGATGTTACAGTGGTGAGCTTACATGAGGCCTTCCTGTTGAACTTTTTTGTAATTGCGTAATGATTATCAGGCTTTATCAACGATTTTCCCTCTCACTTCTCAAACCAACTGGCGAGGAATTGCTGTAATCGATAAAAATGTATTGCTTTTTCTCATGTTACCTGACATGTACATCACGAAAAACTATTTCCGCCTGCCTGACGGTCTGGTCAAAGATCCTTCACCCCCCTCTAAAGTACCACTCGGATTTTAATGAAATTTTGTCACAATGTTACTATTATGCCAAAGGACGAAAAGGACTTATGCTACGTTCTCACGGGGCAATAAGATGACATTGTGGCATGCTTTCGATTTGCTAAATGTCTTGTAATTAATTGGACTTGGGGTCTGAAAAAACACAGTTTCCTGTTCCAAAGTTGCCGCCGTTTCGGAACAAATTATTTCCTTCTTCTTCTCCCTACAAAAAAATTAAAACTTTACATATACATTAACTAACAACTTGAATAATAATAAAGTCCATTTAAAATATTTTTAATTTAGTTCAGGCATTATATAAAATGTACTATTTAAACACGTCCTCGAATATCATCAACAACACAGTAATTCTAAACATATACACACATAAAAAGATAATAGAAGCATAAAATGATTCGTAATTCTGATAGATTTTGAAACCGAATGAAAAGTTTTTTTGTGTTCCATTATCAGAAACAAAGGAAATTATAGCAAACTCACCCTCTTAGCTAGAAACTGTGGCGGTCAGTAGATAATCCAACGAAATGCACATCTTAGACATTATCATTTATATAGACTGCAACTTGTCAATATGACAATGAAAGACTGTTACGGGGTATAGCTAGACACAGATTGATGGAAAAGAGAATGTTATTTTTAAATAGTAAAAATCTGAGCTGTTTTTTGCTGATAAATACTATGTGGTTGTTACTTTGTTTTCAGAAAATTTACGATGTTAAGGTACATAATACTATCAGCTATGTCTGTTCTTTTTTAGGTGCATTATTGTGCTTTTTGATTTCCAACATCTGTTGGACTAGTTGTGTGTCGCTCTTTTAGGTGGAAATCCTAACAATCTCTTTTGTGCTCTGATATTCGGGTTTTTAAGTACCTTCCTGTTGTCCCTATATATATTTTGGGATGAAGGGTAGTATTAATATAAAAAAATAGCTACGCATCGTTAATTTCATGAAAACAAGGAAACAACCACCACATAATATTTATCTGCAACTAAAAGGCAAACCATCAAATATAACAAAAAAACAGCTCAGGTTTTTACTATTTAGAAATAACTTTCTCCTTTACATCAGTCTAGTATGTCTAGATATACCCCGTAGCAGTCTTTCAATGTCATATTGATAAGTTGCAGTCTAAATGATAATACCTAAGATGTGCGTTGGATTATATTTCAAGCTAAAAGTGTGAGTTTGCTATAATGTCCTTTTTTCTGATAAAATGGAACAATAAAAAACGTTGCATTCGTTTTGAATCATTTTATCTTTGTTTTATTTTTATGTGTGTATATGTTGGGAATTGCTATATTGCTAATGAATGTTTAAACAGTTCATTTTATATAATGCCTCAACTACAATAAGTCTCTTTTACATAGATTTTATTATTTAAATTGTGGATTAATGTATATGTAAAGTATTTTAAATCTTTTTGTAGAGCCCCGAGGAAGGAAATACATGTTCCCAAACGTCATCAACTTTGTAATTGTGTTTCTTTATACTCCCAACTCAATTAATTACCAGAAATTTATTAGAATAGAAGAAAAGAATAATTTTCAATTTTTTTGTCCTGGAGTGGGGAGTAAAACGTGGCCGTTCACGCGGTCACGATCCAATTTATTCCATGAAGCTGATCTGAAGGAGCTCCTGATTGAGACATGTGCAGTTCAGTTTTTAATACTATGTTGGCGAAAAGGTTTTGAGCAAGGCTTGTTTTAAAATTCAAACGTGTCTCATACCGAGCGAGAGTGGACGTGAACTTGCCTCGATGTCAGAGGCAATTCCACGCAGGTAAGGCGCCACGCTCTGTGAAACGTAGCAATATGTATTTTGAGAATATATCCAGGAGCGGCGTAGTTACGAGCAAGAAATGAAAACAATTAAATTGCTCAAACTTCGTTTTTCTTTTGACGTTTTAGAGGCTCCTGCTCATTTTGACAACTTTTCAAAGGGTAAAAAATTAGAAGTGGAGGTTATGTGTGTTGGGGTATATATTTTTTTGACATTAGTACCTAAAGGTATATATAAGGAATATTTCACATTTACATTTGCCCCAAAGGCTTAAAATGAGATATTATTTATTACCGACGTCGAGCACAACGAAGAATACATTAACCTGTCGGAAGCTGGCCGCCAACGCTGGCAAGATTGCGATTCTGGATCACATGTACCAAAAAAGAAAAACAAAATGCAAGGGATGTAAGGTGTCCTCGGTCGTCAATACCACAGATATTAGGACTCCTTCATTGTCTGACCAGACAATGATGAGGTCCAATAAACATAAAACCTCAGGATAAGGTTCAGCTCTTACATTAGTCACATACATTGTTAGCCAACGGTGTTGACAAACACTTTTTGCTTGAAAATAATAGTGATAAATGTAAGTGAACAGTGGTGAGCTAATAATTTTCGGGGCGGTGTGGATTGCAGTTCAATGTAGCGACGATGTAAGATTTACAGCGCCGGCCGTAGCGATAATTGAGAATGGCAGACTTTTTCGACTACTGAGAGCGCGAAATCTCACCCAAAACTATTGTCACATCACACCTGTTGACGTAATCTTGGCAGATAATACTGAATCTGAATTATTCATGGATCCAAAACGCGAGAAATATTTCGCTAGCTAGATAGCTGAAGAGCATCATCTTGTTTATATTGTGAGGAAGTAATATAAGACACAGCAGTTTGGCTTAAGGCAGCGGAGTAAAACGTTTGCGCATTTGGGATCCAATAACTTCAGCCTTACATCTTCATACAGATTCACTGCAGGAGCAAGTTCCATTGACATATTGGTACAAGAGAGCGGACGGATCTCACCGAGCTCCTTGATGCTTTCCAGTGGAGGCCAACCTGATTCATCAGTAGCAGTTTAACAGTGCAATATTACAAGCCAATTTCTAATGCACGAGCGGTGGGTAGTCATGTGCGGATGTACTTATGAAATTTGTTTCTGTACTCGAGTCTCAGGGCATGCCTGATGCTTCACGAAAAATGAAAACACTTGTATATGAAAATTCACGTTCAATGCACATATCGTAATTACACTAGCTCAAGATGCAAAAGTGGCCTGCATTTTCAATCAAAATGACAAAAGGGATAGATAGTTCCAACCAAAGCAATCGAAACTAAAAGGAGACATGGCAATGTTTGTCGCCAAAACAACTGAGACTTGTGGTTAGATTTGTGTACCAATGCTCACCAAAATGTTAACCCATGAACACCGGAAAAGAGGATATTCAAGTAACCAAATGTGTACTCTTGTGGGCATGGCAGAAATACTGACTATGTTGTGAATCGTCCAGTTACTGTTAAAGTGGGGATAAATTGCATAAGGCGAGTAAGAAGAATACATTAATATTTACTAACGGTACATCAGAAAAATGTGAAAAAGTCAGGAACACCTGTTATAGGAGATAGTAGGGCACCTTGCTTGAGCTACACTTTCTTTTTCTAGAATGCTATTATACGTTGTGTGTGACCCAGTAGATTCTTGGTTAAAAGAGAACACATAGTTGAACATTATAGGGCAATTACTGTTGTTATGCGATTGTTACTATATTGATTCACAACATTTAGAGATTTGATTAATTTTATAATAATAGATTTTTTGGAGCATGTTGAATTTCAATTTTCCAATATTTTGTGGTGAGGGTGACATTTTGTGAACAAATATTAGGTTGGGGTTCACCACTAAAAAACAACACAACGCACCCTTTCACCACACCGATGACAATCCTGTATTAACATTCGCCGATAGAAACGTCTGCTTTGATTTAGATTTAACTGCTTTTTGCAATTCACAAAAATCTTTACTAATTTCGGCAATTGACTAGGCCACTAGAGCTGTATGGAGACTCACGCAGTTTTTTAGATGTTGGCAAAAAAAAAGAATTTATACGAAGTGTAAACAACTGCCCGAAGTCAATGGTTCCGATAAATCGTTGTTTTTCTTATATTGTGGTTCATCAATTTAATATATATTTTTCAGTGAAAATCATAATATCGTAGCTTCCAGAAAGTCAGGACATATCAACAATTTCGATGTTGCAAGCTTGTTATAACCTATAATATGCGTCTAGAACATCTACATTTCTCAAGGATAAATAAGCAAAACAAATTCAAAATAAATTAATAATCTATTCAGCTTCATTTGTGTCATACGGCGAAGAAGGGTTTGATATCATTTCACCTTTTACATTATTATAATCAGAGAGATGTTTTTCTAAGTCTTCTGACGTAGTTATTGATATTGCTGCAGAATTCGATGCTGGAGAATTTGGAATTTCTTCTAAAGAACTCTCAAATTTTGCTTTCATTACAAGTCCATCTATTTCCAACATCAAGCTTTCCCTCCTCCTTTCAGGAATCTGCCGAATCCTCCGAGCCAATAGTCTTGCATATAACTCACAATCGTCTTCTTCCTTCTTTTGGTCGATATTCTTGAAAATAGTCTCTATTGCTTCTAGCATCTGCCTTTTTGCAGTCTTTAACTCAGGCTCGTCGCTCTTCTTCCTTTTCCGGTTTTGGTTCACAGTTTTGTCTGTATCGCTAATAGTTGCAATCGGATCGGATTGATAAATGACCTGCCCTGAATGCGAATTTGTCACCTCCCATATCTGGAATAAAGAAGAAATTCGAGGTTTACAGTCCTTAAGGGTTGTGGAATTCAAAAGGCTTTCTCCTTTCAGTCCAATTGTTTATCTAAACAACCAACGTGGATGCCAAGCGAAAGCATTTCGAGTTATTCTAAAGAGCTTATAAGAATAATTTTTGTTGATAAATCGGTAGAAAAATGTGACAAGTAAGATTGAATGACCAGCTATAGTCGAATGTCTCTTGCGATACACGATGTTCTGCCATTGAGGAAAATCTTTCCAGGAACAAAACACATGAAACGGTAAACGTGATGAGCGCCAAACAGCAGCAAATGTAGTCCTATCGCCAAATTCCCGACCAGACCGACCCGTTGATGTGTACTTCTAAGTAAAAACATCCAGTAAACCACCTATTATAAGTGGATTATCAGGTTCCCATAATTATGATATATATTAAATTAAAAATAAATTGTTTCTAGAGAATATAATAATAATAATAACCGACTTTATTTCTAACATCCAAAAGGAGGCCGAGTCTAGCTGTTGCTTTTCAAGTCAATCACCACTTTATTTAATACTCCGGATGGATTACGGTTAAAAAGGTTCGTTAGTGAATGTCTTCTGAAGTAGCTGAGGTTTCAATAGGAGGTGTTCAACAATAATATCGAAATGTGCCAGCTTGGCAAAAGGCGAAACAAACTTAAAAAAATTATTGCTGGTACTTTCTTCCGCGTTTCGAGTTATATCTTGAAGCGCAGTGATATTAGAGCAAAATCGAAAAGGTCCTTGTTCCCTTTCTGAGCACATATATTGTATTGTTTTAAAGCGTTGTATGTCGTTAACATTATAAATGCACAGTGAAAAAATGTCGTCACGAGGGTTGATTCTGCACTTCCCATGAAACGTCGTTATCAATTCGTTCAGGATTATATTCCGCACAAACAGGCCCATACAATTAGTTCATAGACGCTCTTTCCCTGCCTATCCGGTAGTGCATCTGGAAACGTTGTTTCTCCCCGATACTGAACGCAGTCCGACGCAGTGTTGCCAGAGCCAACATTGAAAATTCCGCTACTGGTATCGAAAAACTCCGCTACTTTCCGCTACCCCTGGGATGATCGTCGGGCGGAGGGGGCGCACTAAGGGGCATTTATTATAAAGATTGTGTCAAAAAAGGAAAACAAAAACCAAACGCGTGATAAAATATAATATAAAACTGTAATAAAAAAAAAACATTTGACTATAAAAACCAATACAATATTACAAATACCTATCAAACAACAGAACATTTATTACGCAGTCATATTAAAAAAATATCACAGGAAACTAAAAAATAAAAAGGTTATGACTGTCTTGCATAAAAAAAATGAGGTTTTTGAGTTACTTAAACTTAGTCACTGTCTGCATCAGATTCTTCTTGTTGCATTTCTGTTCTCTCTATACTATATAAATTATTTTTGTATTTTTTCAAATGTTTCACCAAACTCTGAGCAGCAACATTTTTTTGTACTGTATCCAGTTTGATAATTATCGCGATCAAAAGTTAAAGATAAAATACGATTCCTTATCTTTGTTCTGATTATCTCCATGTATCAGAATGTCACTTTATCCATCATATGTACCTAAATTGCCAAATTCCGCTACTTTTAACAAAAAATCCAATTCCGTCGCTACCACTTGAAAATTCCGCTACTGGTAGCGGAATTCCGCTACTTCTGGCAACACTGGTCAGACGTGGCCGGGTAGTCACAGCATAGCTGTAATGCGGAAAAATACGTGCGAGACCATCCCAGAACACTCCGTAGTCACGGTGGGTAGGTGATGTGTGAAATATGTCTAAGAGGTGCATGAAATTACCAAGGTTGGGAGTGTATAATTATACTAATAACAAAAAATTGAGATAAGCCCTCCCCACTTCCTTACTACCCAAACCCCAAAGCTTACTTGTAAAATCTTTTCAAAAATGATCAGGATCTTCTGAAACGTCAAAAAACGAAGTTTGCGCGATTTTTACATTTTTCGTTTTAGACCTTTTTCTCTGCCGCCACTGGACGATTTTCAAAAACTACAAAGCTTTTGTGTTCCTGGCACACTAGTAACATTGTATAAAAACCGACAGATAGACTGAAGAAAATGAGTGACAAGGTTTTTCATGATTTACATGTTATATCATCATTTTCGAGAATATTCGCGATTACTTATAATACGCCGCTGGTAGACATGAGAACTTAAAACAAAAGTTTGATAATTTCGGTCTAACAGGCACTCTTAATTGTTGTAGCTGTTTGAAATTCCAGTTTTGACTATCTCATTGTAGAGTTATAAGACCTAAGTCATATTATCAGGATCCGGCTAACAGTTTCCAAAAATATGTTTTCAAGTTTGCTGTTTCAAAACACATCCCTCTAATATCTGCTATCGAGAAGCCGCTAAGGTGAAAATATATTCATTAAAAATTACTGAGCGGATCCATACAATGTTTTCACGATATTATAACCTCACAATAATATAGACAAAACTGGAATGTTAATCACTTACAACACCAGAAAAGCATTATCAAAGTTTTGTTTTATTTTCAGCTATATTTGTTTATTTGCGGTGGATTTAAAGTTTTTTCAAGATATAACAAATATTTCAGAAAAACTGTGTGCATGCAGTTGTATGGTGGGTCTGGATCTTGTCGCAGAGCTAAAGTTTTGAATATGTCTGTTAATGCAGATGCTGTTACCATCAGAAACTCTTGGTCTACATATTGACAGCAATCTACTTACATCGACGTCATTTGTAAGAGATTAAGCAGCTAATATGCTATACTTCATATAAAATGGTGTCTGGTTCTTAAATTTATATTTTGTATTGACATATTCACAAATAATAGATACTGTAAGGTAATTCAACACTGGCCATGCGAGTATTTATTATGTCAAAAAAATATTCGTTTAACGTTTGGTTTTAATTCTATGGAGTTATGTCAGCAATCATTCAAGACTTAACAAGATACTCACTCTACCATCGGTTAGCCTTTACAAATATATTATGTTCGCGAATATTTAATTGAACTTATCAAAAAAAACCTCTGTATTGTACATATACTGCCAGAAGTATCACAAACCCATTACGGTATATTACAAAACACAACTTTGTATGAAGATAGTCAATTTTATATTGGCCAAAGACTTAACAACTCTTTGCCAGTATAATGTTCCAAAAATGAAACTTTATTCAAGAAATCATTAAAAGCCTTTGTTTTACTTCCCAGGCATACTGGTGGGGAAGTATTGCAATCATACAAAATACTATGTCACTCATTTTCATTGGTCTGTCTGTCCACTAATGTTATAACTGCCTTCAACTCGAGAAAGACTTTAAAAGGAAGTAATTTAAACAGTGTTACTACTACGTCAAGGACACAAAAGCTTTTTAGTGTAAACATAAAAATATGGCATTTCATTAAAATCATTTGGTTAAAATTAGGATAACCAGTATACCTAATTGTATTTCACAAATAAACCCCCAGATACCATGTATAATAACCAATAAATATTTTTCATTATAAAGCTTCTGCTTAGAAGTGTTATTCCGTCCCCGAATGGATGGGAGACGCAGTATTATAACTATTCCATCAACACTGTATTTATTCTTATAATTACATGGTATTATTACTATGTGATCTACCTTGTTCAAATAGACCACACCCTGTGGATTACTTCACTCCACAAGCTTCACTTTGCGTTATCACAACTGTTGTTTTGAAAAACTACTGATACTGAGCCCATCCAATACCTTGTACAACTTGAGAACAAGTGAATTACCAATAAAAAGCAATAAGGGTGGTTCGGCCAAGGGTCGAACAGGTAGGGCGATAGGACTACCGCAACGTTACCAAGTCTCCTACTTAGTAACTCCTAAAGTATAGGTAGATATGGCTGTAAACACCTTAACGTTCCTGGAAACAGCTTGTATCCATACCTCCTTGAACGAGACAAAGAAACATACACGGCGGGCGCATCAACTTCTCAACATTATATTGAAAGCACCACACCAATATCATGTTGAGCATCATATCGACATAGGTATTTGTTTTAGCAATAACGAATACCTATGTAACAATGGGTGGGCAATAAACTTTTTTTTTCAAATTGGCTTGGTAAGAAGAATTAAGAACATAATGAATGTCATAAGCATGGGTGAACAAAATATTTTACCTCAGATTCCTCTTCTGTAACAACTGTGCTGTATTTGTAGACAGGTCCCAGGAAGCTTTCCATCAAATTGTATGCGAACCAACCTGGTGTATATACTTCATCTGGTCCTGCACCTGATTTGATTGAATATTTTTTCTTCAATAAACAACGGAAGGTTGCCATCAATGACTCCTTTTTCCTTTTTAGGTCTTGCACCGTGAAATTTACGCTTAGAGATTGTCGAATTCGCTCCCAGGCTTCGCTTAGGGCGTTCCGGTTTTTGTACTGTATATTCTGAGGATCCCAAATGCAGGGTTCTGATCTGTAGGCTTCTAGAAATTCAAGCACTATCTCGTTGCTCCAGTCCATATCTACGAATATCATGTTGAAATTATATGATTATCTCGCAGAGCAACGAAGCTAATGAAATATCGTTCTCAAGCACTACCAAAATGTGTTACAGCATATACTGCTACTACTATTTGTGGCTTATTTTGTAAATCAATAAATCCCTTATTAGGCTACTGCTTTGACTCCGTTAAGTTTGAGCAAATACATGATTGACGAAAGCCTGCTATACATTAAAGTTGAAAGTTCCTTTGGCAAAGCAGATAACTGCTTTGGAAGAAGGCGGTGATCTTAGAGGGGAAGGTATTGCCTTTATTCTTTTTAGTTTATCTAGGAAAATCTCTCTACCCATTGGAGTGTGCATGCAAGGAGCTATCAGCTGCAGAACTATTGAAATGTAACTTATCTCAGAAGAAACCCTTAATAATTGATAGACGAAACGTGTCATAAAAACGATACTTGTGAAACCGTCTATCAATATTGTGTTTTGAAAGATATAGCACATCGGCTAAGACGGTTATCTATATGTCACCTTACAGTGTAAAAATTTGCAAAGCTTCTGGGAGGACATAAGCAGAGAGTTTGGTCAGAAGAGGAACAAGTTAAGCTTCAAACATGAATAATGGGTAAGATATTCACTAACACCTGATGAATTGAGGCTACCCGACAGCTATGGCAAATTTTTACCTATGGATTCATGTGGGGAAAACTGTGTTTCAAACAAAAACTCGGTGTCTGTGGTCACACTACAACAACATACACTCAGACTTGCATTAGAGAAAACTTTCAAGCGCTATCAGATTGCAAGGAGATCAAGGCATGGACTTTTTGTCGATACGCCAACGAAGAACCATACGATTTCGTCTTTCGGTTTGTAATAGGAAGACTGCCCCCAGACTAATATTGGCGGGTATGGTCACCTTTATTTTGTAGTATAGTACAATACCAGCTTGGCTTATAGTGCTTTTCGATTGCACGGCAGAGTATTATTTGTCAAAACATTGGTGACGACGCCTGTGTCCGCATAAAATACAAACCTGATATAGTACACTACAAACAGCTCCACACCACAACAGTCACTCAGTCCCAGCTAACTTCTATTATATACAACACGTCACACGTGGCAGAATAAATCGATGAACTGCTGGCACGTTGGCCGAATGTTTGTCGTTTGCCAAGCGACGCGGCGCACATCGGGTGGCATTCGGTAAACCGACCTTGCACGAAGCGGGTGATCGCTGATTCGTCGGCACAGCCCACAATGTTTTTATCTTCAGAGTCGATATGCCTCGTCGATCGCGCCGTGTGGCGAGCTGAGGGGAATTAAGCTGACCACACACATTCTTAATATGGATTTGTATTGAATTGACAATTTGTTTATACTGGTGTTGTTCTGTGGCTAGCTGGATATAAAATGGACGTACACATGGTAAAATTGTAGTCTCTAACATCAACAGTGAAACCTTTAAAACGATCAACTCTATTTTTTAAATTAATGAAATGGCTTCTCACAATAAATAGTGAAGAGCGCAGGGTGCTTCGATCCCAATTTATATTCAAAATAAAGTAATCTGAAAATATCCATCGATGTCTTGCAAAATGAGGATTAAACTTTAGATACTTGGCGACTTCACATATAGTTTTTAACCGAGTTACTGGGCAATGAATATACCCATTTTAGCGATTTTCATACAATAAATCGCTTATAACTCGAATATCGCCAGCTTTAGAGAAAAGTTAATGGAAGCCTTTTTATTCGCAGTGATTCAAGAAACGTGAACAAATCTGCTAGGGCATTAAAAAGTAATTCATTCAAAGAAATTGTTTAAGCGAATTTGATTTGGGTTACCGTGCAATGTTTAAAAATTCGCTTAAATATTATGATTTTTGAGGTGATCAAGTATCTAAATTAAAACAGAAACCTTGGTCTAAAACACCTCGAAGGGCGTTTTAAGATTAGTTTAATCTAAGTCGACTCCAAATTTGTTTGACAGGCAAAAGTGCACGAACTTTTTGATTTTCGCGGACTGTACTATCAGTTTCTAAAGCTAAATAAGTTTTGTTGTAAGGAAAACTGAAAACAAATTAATTCATATGTGATATTTTTGCACTTCTCATGTTTATATTAGCTTTGTTTAACTAAAACAAAAACTTAAAAAATTACAAAAATTGAAAAATCTCAAAAAATATTGATTTTCGCCCATATATAAAAGGTGAAACTTGTACCACGTCCTGGAAGGAATACGGTGAATTTTACCTGCTTATCCACTTAACATACAAGCAGCAATACCTTTGGGAATCGTTTTTTAAGCAATTTTCTTCGAGGTTGAGCTATAGGCGTTGTTAGAATGTGTTTGACACTGTGATCCCGATGTTGATCAACGATGTGTTTTAAAATCAGTATCATTACCACATGTCGGATTATCGCACGAAGCGCAGAGGGTTATTGGATGAAAGCTTAGTTATTGCACTCGCACTTTTCCGCTACTGAAAACGAAGTCCTACTATTCCAGCTTTGCAAAACGATATGTACACTTTTGATTCAATGCATTCACCGGACTCGTATCATCGCCCCATTTTCCAGGTGCTCCTTTGATGTAGAACTTTTAGGCTGATTCCAAATGGAACGACGAGGTTGATTTTGAATGATTGGTGTTTGGTGATTGGTATTTTCCTATTTTTTTGGTTATCATAACTTAGTCTGTCAGATCGTGAAAATGGAGTTCATATAAAGCACCAAATTCTAAGAAGGAGATTAAGTCTTGACATTACATACTCGTATGTAGGGCTAATGATACTCCATAGATGCAATCACCGCACGACATATGTAAGTGATAAACTTTCTATCATTAGCTATGCTTTGTTTACTGCTTATTTGGATAATTTTGTATTTTTCGTAATACGAAAATGATCTCAGAACATTTGTTAAATAACAAGAAAAGATATTCGTCCAACAAAATCTATTTATAGTAAAAAATAGCAGCTTTCAATCCCTTACCAAGTTAATAATGGAATTCTCTGATGGTCAAATCAACGAATTCTCCCACACACCCTATCTGCTAATTAATGTCTTTACTATGGGAACCGTCGCACTCAGATATGCACCAATCAAATAAGGCTGGCGTTTATCTCTAACGCCATTACCTCTAAACTTAGACTAACTTTAAACCGCAATTAGTCTTGTGTGTCTATCCCGACAGTCGATAGATACAGTGATTAAGGAATCGGACCAGAGTGATTGAGAGGGCTAGTTTCTCACCATTAGTTAGCAAGTTGAAACAATGTTCATTGAATACGATATAAATTTGGAAGAAATGTGCCAGTAATGGAATTGTTTCACTCTTGTAGATTTTGTCACTATTTGAACGGATACTTTTACAATACTAGATGCTTCACAAATCATCACATGGTTCACCCAATATGCCAAATCTAAAACGAATTACAAAGAACCTCAAGTAATTGAAATACTTGAAAACAGTTATGAGTCCAAGCAGTGATAGTTGAAAAAAATTAAAAATGGATGTCAGTTCAGTGCACTTTCCATGACCAGTAGCTGTAGCTATACTTTATATTCAAGCGTAGATGGTTTCACCAAGTTGAAATATAAAGCAGAAGCGTCCGCGTAGACGTTGGTTTGTAGAAAGCACATGCTGGTCAATATATAACTCATTGATTTGTTTCTCCGAAATCATTAAAATGGAATGAAATAGATCCATTTCTTTTCATAGTCTTTTTCTGATGTGAGTAATGCATGACAAACGATACTATATGAATGGCTAAATATAGAAGCTGCACAACGCTGAACCCTTTGGATTAACCGTCCATCATTTTTCACCTATGATATATATTTCACAGAGTATAGATTTCTCCGTACGTTAGCCCTTAAAACTTAGAAATATATTCTCTATAGACGGATCGTACCTAATAGCCGGGTCTGCTTCTGCTCCCGGTGGCGTGCTAGTCCTGGCATTACTGCCGCGCCTTGTTCGGTATCGGGGAGATTCGATGTTTCCAGATGGACTACCGGTAGGACAGACAAGGAATGTTTATGCACTAAATTTTTCAGATAGTCAAGTTTGTGCTGAACATAATCCTTTATGAACCGATAACGGCGTTGCGTGGGAAGTGCAGAGTCAATGTACTTGACATCATTTCTTATAAATTCATGCGGGAAAAGTCCAGGTTCGTTAAATATGGTGATCTTAGGGGACAGATGACATCGCCTAATAGATCAGACGTCCATGAAAAACACAGTTCGCAAAACTCATAATTTTTCTAGCTTTGTGATACATTGCTCCGATTAGATTTATGACCACATCGCCTCTCGGTGACAGTGAGAAAATTACATGCAGCCTGTACATTTAAGCGCACAGATATCCGGAAATGTTCTGCTCTTATTTCAGAACGGACAAGTTTACCAGTTTTTTGTTATGTGCTCAAATGAAATTTCAGGATGGTGGAAAAATTATTGATTTATCTCTAAAAACAAAAAAGTTACAGCCTATCAAAGTTGCGCTCCGCGAGAATATTTTTATTCCGCCTGAACGCGACGCGTGACGTCACACTTCGCTATCCAGTTGCGACGACCGTCGTCACACATAGGGACGCATACAGGGGGAACACGTAGTAGACTAACCGTCTTCCACGCCAATTTGTTTAATCAATTGACTACATATACGACCGGTTATGAGAGAAATAACAAAAAAGAATGTTGTTATAAATTCTGTATCGTTCCAATTACAACCGTTAATAAAAATTTTTGCTGCGTACCCACACAAAATATCAGGAATAAATAGTGCAAACTACAAACGTACCAAAGTACAACATATGTATGTCTATGAAGACCACCTTGATATATGTATATCATTTTACTATTTATTTATTATTATTAGATAATTATTATATGATTTCCAAGCTCATTTCACTGTACAGGCGGATTTCAAAAAGAAATTCAAAATAAATTTATTTACCAAAAAACAAAAAAAAACATTATATTTACCGTATTATAGAAAATACAAACACTTAATATTTTTGGCAAAAAGGACAAATCCTCGATCAAATGACCGTTAACACCCAGCCTTACATAAGTAGGGTGGGTGTGAAAATGCCCTGTGGTACACTAATTTACACATATATTATAATATATAAACAATATTTTGGAATCTCATGATTTCATTTATTACGAGCATGTACCATTGATAGTTGCAGAAGAAAAAAAATGTATTTACTCACTTAAAAAGTCAACGTTCCGACGGGTGGGGAGCACCGGAGAGGGGGGGAAGAGCGGCAGAAAGCAACAGACGCGAAGCCACACCGACGAACCCTCATACAGTTAACAACACCGAAATACATCTACACACACATACAACATCTAACATCACATGCTCGCTTCTCCATCTTAATAAAAAGATAAATTTGAAAAAATAAACTTGAAAACAAGTATCCGTGCACAATCACAGTCATTATTGTATTATTGATCCTGAAGAAGCATGGCCATCATATACTTTGAGAACACTCTTTGCGACATTACCTTTACATCGTTATTTAGACTGTTCCACATTTTAACTGCAAGAAATGAAAAAGAACGTTGAAATGCTGCAGACCTATGTCGAGGAGTAAAAAAAAAATTCTGGTTATGTCTTGTCCCGTAATAATGATTAAAAGTTAAAAGCTCATTTATCAAGTACGGAGGTTTTCCTAATTTTATTATTCTATAGATGAAATTAAATAAACTGATGTTTGCCTGCGATTTAGCATATTTAGTATAGATAAACTGTTTAGGTAAGGTGTTATGTGGTTACGATAAGGTATGTTGAATGAAAATCGCATGCAGGCATTCTGCAATTTTTGTATCGCATTTTTAGTAGTATACGCCAACGAGCTCCCATAAACTATATCTCCATAGTCAAAAAGCGACAGTATGAGATTCTGACAAAGGAAATACTTTTGCTTAGGCAGTAAACATTTTTTTAATTTGGAGATATTTCTTAATCGTATGTAAGCTGCCGGATTCATTCAGTAACATTCTACTGAAGTACTTGCAGGTTTCTCGCTTCTTTTCAAAAGCTAGATCAAAAACGGTATTGTATGTTTACATCCACCAAGCTTAGCAGCACAATAAATGACAGACAACAGTTTCAATTTTTTTCCTCACTTTCGTCACATACCAATGTGCAGTGGTTGGTCGTAGTTTTCACTTTATGTTCAGGTGTAACTCTGCATTTTGCAATACATTTTGTACCTTCACGTTTCAACCGAACATAACCAATAGCATCTTCACGATTCGAATCTCTACCTGTCCTGGAAAATATTGTGTCGTATTCTCAAATCTGTACTTATATTAGGCATAAATCCTTACTTCCAAAGCTTCACACATTTTATTTCCGCGCTTGTACCATATATGATGGATTTGAAGAAATAAATTCCATCACTGTATAAATTTCAATTTTGGTAAAATTTTCACTTAACCCTTTTACAAATCCAGCTTCCACAGTGGCACGAACTTACGCAGTACTCAATAGTTATCAACTAGAAACCACGTGGCCGAGCGCACAGGTGTGTCTTATGAATTGTCTATAGACTATTATTAGTAAAATACACAGACGCTCTCGGGACGCTCGGCATTAGCGAAGTGTGACGTCGGACGCGAGCAGCAGTGATTTCGCGCTATAATGCGCCAAATTAAATATAATTCTCTGTCATTTATTGATCGATTTCAATAATTTTTTCACTGGTTGATTATATTTCATCTATATTTTGCTGATATCTCATTACTTATGCGATTCTGAACATCACGAAACTTCTCCACTGCGTAGCATATGGTGTGGTCTTTTGTCATACCGCCCCAGCTATTTAAATTTCGTTGTTGATCCAGAAATAAAAACAAAAAGGGAGGTTCATAAAACCAAAATTACGGCTCTCATTTTATTGCATCTCAACATAACCAATTAGTCTGATTAAGTAAATTAACAGACAGAATAATAATAAGGTCATCGAGCAAGAGGCCAAAGTACTTGCCCCTTTAAATCGAATCTTCGCTAAATGTGGGAAAATGATGAGGGGTGGTATAACCAAGATCGTGGAAAATTGATCACGAGGTTACTGCAGGGCATTCTAGAATAATTTTTAATGCTTAAGGAACTGCAGTGGATAAGCCGTAAGACTGCACACAGCAAAAACTGCTATAGAGATCAGAGATCTCGATGTTTTGTTGGCAGCCAAAGAAACCACTTGTTAAGAGTTTGTTTACGTTTGTGTGGTTTCATTCACCAAAAAGATATGGATATTTATAAGAGATCGTGTTCGAATAAGCGAATAATTGGCTAATACAAGAGTTCAATCAGTTGAACCGGTGAAGCGTCTTCTGGAAGATTGTCCCACATTATCGCTATTCTAGGAACAAAGCAGCTGAAATGCTGAAAAGTACCTCCTAGTTCTAAGCAGCTACTCCAGCTTCGTCCTAGAAACTACTGCAATGGACCAGACGTCTTCACTAGGAATTTCGAATCTCATAAGGCATAACAAATGGTTTCTTGAAGAAGTTCAGAAATCATCTAAGCTAATACTTGTTTTGGCACTTCTCGGTTGAGATGTACTGAGTATTAGCAGCATGACAACTGCTCCATATTTCTACATACTCAGGTAGTGTCTTTCGTCGGCAAACAAGTTATCATATCATCTGCAAAGATCGGTTCATTCTTTGGAATACCAGCATCCACGGAAAGTATGTTGATCGAAGATCACCGTTTCTATGTTTTTTACGTCTACCACAGGTATTACTTACAGTTAGATCATCAGCCATCCCTAAAGTCAGCACTCCCTCAATATGGATTCGTCCTGATAGGACAGCTGCCCAATCGTAAAATCAGTGCTTCGGGGACTATTCTATTCGTCATTGTCCATCAGAGCGGTCCGTGGGAACTTTGTTGTTGGTTAAAGTATTGAAGATCTGTAGGTGTGTCAGGTCTGGTTACCCAGATAGCAGACAGAGTCAGGGAGAAAGAAGGGCAGAAGAAAGATAGAACTGAAGGAGGAAGAGCAAAGAGGAGGAAGTGCGTCTGTTGGAGGGGTGCCTCGACATTGTTAACTAGTATTCAGTAATCTTAAATTGATCTAAAGTTAATTTAGGAATTTGTATGTGTGGAAAAATTGTAATTTCTCGTATTGCTTCTCACATACCTTATACAAGGATATACTCGTATCACTTATACGGTTTTGTGCTGAAACGGAAGGCAAAGGACATCGCTTGTCATTGTTAGCGTTGCGTCTTTGAATACGGTGTGATCCGCGCATACCGACTATACCGATTCAAAGGTATGTCGCGCCGATTTGGTACTCGCGAGTAGTACGAGTATATTCTTATCTATGTTCGGTTGAAACAAATGACACCGCGCGACAAATGCTTGGGCAGGCAGCGATAAGCGCATAGAAGTGACGCGGCGGTCGAGTGCTCATGTTATCAGGGCCGGCTACAGGCGATAAGTCAGTGAGGCAGCAAGCTCAGGGCGCAGTGTCATAGAGGGAGTAAAATTCTCAGTTAATGGGTAGGGCGTATAATTTATCTTTTCCCTCAGGGAGCACAAAACTCTGAATCTGGCACTGCATGTTACAAGCCGGTAACAAGCCCAAGCTATTGTCTGAGCAAGGACAGGTTGAATACTCCCAAATGGTTTAGCAAGCTTAACGAGATTACATGTTCAACATACTGGTCTCAGCTCCGATGGGAAAAATGGAAAAGTTCTGGATTCAGATCTCTGGTTTGATCCATCCTTTCTGTCAGCCGACGGGCTGTAGTATTAACATTGCATTGTAATCCTTCTTAGTTACCGGATTTCTCACAAGGCAAGTAATCGTAGTGGTGAGGAAGTGAAGCCAGGCAAGAAGGCGCCCTTTGGCCTGTTTGTCCTCTCCGAGTCTACCAATCTTATAAAATTATAAAAAGAGGACATTTTGGGACAAAGGAAAGTGGGGAGAACCTAACGTTCAAGAGGAGTGTCCACCCGAAAGGAGCACTCCAACCTAGCAACCCTAGATTCTTCACCCAGCAATACTTCATCTACTACTCAGTCCACTCACCTAAAGACCTAACCACTCTCCTCCTGCAAATCTCCCATGCGCCAAGACGTTATAAATAGACGTCTCGCAGGGGCCATTGCTCATCCACAGCTGGCGTCTATACATACCAAAAACACGACTCGCTATACCGGATTCCAGCGGTCGGTCCCACCATGGAATCCGCCAAATCAGCTGACGACCACGATCTGCCAGACGAGTCGATGACGCGGTGTTGCCGGACCTACATAGGATTTCCCGCAATTGAAGAAATTTCTACCTAACAGACTCGGCTTTTGTAGTAGTATGGCGCATATATTTATTGTTGGTATTCGCTATAAACCACTCGAATTTTAATGTTAACTGGTGGAACAGACGAGTCTTGTTTTTTGAAATGCGGCATCCTACCGCTCGTTCGTGATCATCACTATTGCACAATAGAAAATAATGGTTAAGTGGCTCAGGAACTCTGAAAAGTAGACATTATTTCTTTGACAGGCAAAACAGAAACGGTATCGGCATGCTGACCTTAGGATATTGAATACCAAGGAAATATAAATGCAAATAATCTTGGTCAGCGATCTTGTGAATAATTGAAATACTTGTCGCAGGATGTCAAGGAAGGTTAACATATACGAACATGGCTAATTGTCTTCTGTTGAAACCGATTAGGTACTATGAAATATCTTTGAGTGACCAGTGAGTTTAGTACAAGTGTAGTTAATTTTGGTAGACGTCCAATCCTGCTGGACCAACGTTTGAACATAGAAATGGCAAACTATGCTGTGTTTGTGTTTCTGAGGTGATTGATCAATTCACTTTAAATATTTCCTTTTCTTGTAAGGTAAATTTTGGATTTTTTTCAAGAATCCGGTGTTTCATAAGTAGCTGTGAGTATGTTTTTAAATTAATGTTTCAAATCATGTTTTTTAATGTAAATAACAAAGTCGATAACGGTTTCACTTTTGTATTACCAGAACCATACGCATGTTAGAAAAAATGATATCAGGAACTTTCGGATTATTTCCGAAATAACTACTTTGATTTCTAAAATTGTCTACGACCACTTTCTTATATACTCGTATAAGTTAATTGAAGTATTGCTTCAAGTTGACTAACTTTGTATCTCTTTTTTCTCACTATTTTTATCCGAATGCAAGAAAATTGATGTTAGGTGTCGATGTATTTTCACGATTTATTTAAGTTTAACAAGTTCGCGTAATCGCGTAATAATCAAAGTCATAATCTATAAGAAGCAGAGCCAATGTCACACACGTTCGTTCTACCATTGCATTCTTGTAATACAACCCACACTTTTGACGACTAACTACTAACATTCGGCTTCGACTTAGGCCGAAGATTGTTTTAAAGACCAAAACATCGCCTTCATCTTTGGCCAAAAAATTGAGCTTCTATAGGACCCTAGCTAATAATAATAATATTAGTAATAATATGGAAAATAATAATAATAATAATTATAAACCATCTTTGATTACAAACAAATTACAGATAATATATGTATCTACAATGAACCTATAACAGCTATTCTTAAACTTAAACCAATTACTGCATAAAAATATTTGATGGTAGAAGAGTATACGTATAGTACACATAACTGAAAAGAGGAAAATGAGGAAGAAACCACCACCTAAATATGTAGAATGTATATGCTGTAGAAAAACACATTTAAAAAGCATCATTAAGTAGAGCTTTTAAGTTTCTTCTAAAACTACGTATAGGCAGGCTTTTTGAACTATAATCGAAGCTATTCTACAAGCTTGCATTGTATGAGAAGGGTCGTTTAAAAAGAGATGATCGATGAAGGAGCATTAATGAAGGTGTGTTTTGGATAGGACGTTGATGAACGTTTTTCGTGATGCGAGTCGGTTCTTAAACCATTTGACCATCGGCATTAGATAAGTCAGAGTTCATGTCACCTAGTAATTAAAATGTTAACGGAATCGCCAAAATACTTAAATGAGACCAATGCAAACATTTTCTTTAGGAAGCCTCCAGCCAGATGCTTTCCATAACAGTGCTCGTACCACTACGATGAAAATTATATTCCGGAACTTTAACAACTTCAGTAAATATATTGATAGTTAGCCCAGTTTCAATCACGGCGAAACAGTCGCTCTTATTCAGTTAGCATATCCACAAAATTAGAAAAACCAAAAAAGATAAAACGAACGTTAAGGTGGCCAAATGTCACTGTTTTAAGATTCTCATCCATACTTTACACCTAGTTGATTTCAGTTGCTAGAGTTTGATTGGATAAAACGGACATGAGCGACTTGTTACGAAATTCTTAATTGAGACTGTGAATTGGTTAACTTTGGAACAGCTTAGATATTTCACTGTCTCCGATTTACAAATTCTTAAAAATGTAAAAAAGATGATTAGCCATGCTCGTAGATGAGATTCACAATGTCGATGAATCTAGGAAATTGCAGTCGAACACCTAATTGTGCAAATTTAAAGTTTTGTTGGAGTTTATTTTGGATTTAAGAATATCAATATAAGTTTGAAGAATTGTGCATGACAGACCCCGTCGCTCATCAGTTCCGAGCTAGCAGCCGTCGCGAGTATACACTTGTGCGACTGCGAACCACCCGGACTTACAGTGCGATCCTATTGTGATTTTCATCACGATACGATCGCCATCCACGATGGCGAGAATAGAAAAACTAACGAGCCAGCTGAAGCAGAAGGAGGATAACTTCGCAATGCTTGCTGAGCAGATGAAAAATCTGCAAGAAGCATTCAAGCAGGCGAGGCAAGAGATAGAGGAAGTGAGGGGGAAGCTCCTCAAAGCGAAGAGGAAGGCGAAGAAGACGGTAGAAGAAGAAGAAGGTGAGGACCAGGGAGACGAGGACCAGCAGCCTACGGAAAACAGGGACATGGATACCCAAGAAATCGAAGAAGAAGCCGAGAAGAGGACCGATGACGCAGACTTCAGTGTCGTCACCAGGAAACAAGTGAGAGTTTCCTCCTCCGAAGAAGAAGAAGAACCATCCAGGCAGCCAAAGATGCCAGCTGCCACCAAGAAGAGAGGTCCTAAAGCAACCAGGACCGCCGAGGCCCCCATGGCAGGAACAGGAGTTCCGCCAATCAATATCGAGGGCACCGCTGACTGGTCATCCTTAAGCAGGATGATGAACAATAAGGGGATCCAATTCTCCAAGGCGAGGACGGCGGGTAACAGTGTGAAGGTGTTCACAAATACACCAGCTGACTACCGTCAGCTAGTCGCACTGCTGGACTCCATCAAGCGGCCCTTCTTCACCTATCAACTGAAGGAGGACAAGATGGACCAGAGGGTCATCCGTGGACTACCAAGGGAGATGTCAGTCAATGACATCAAAGAGGATCTAGCGAGCCAAGGTATTGCAGACGCCGAGGTTCAGCAGGGCCACCCCGCCAACTACAAGGGATGTAGTAAGGCCCCGAGGAAAGCTGCTTCTGCCCCCAAAGCAGTCCCCACCACAAATAGGACCTCTTACGCTCAAAAAGCGAAGAAACCTATGTCTACTTCTGCCCCAGCAGCCGCCACTGCTACTGGAACTACTGCGCAGAAGCAACACGGCGATGACAGACTGCTAGCAATGATGCAAGCCATCATAACCCGCCTGGATGCACTCGAGGCCAAGATGCAAGACAAGCAGTAGACCCGAAATGACTACAGGGCAAAACGTAGAATCTCTACGCATTATCTCCTGGAACATCAACGGATTCAGGGCACGGAAACCAGAAATCCAGGAGATACTAGACCAGTACCAACCAGAGGTGATGGCCATCCAAGAAACGAAATTGGATGCTGCCCATAGTCTGACGTTCCCGCGGTACGAGACGTACCGCTACGACAGAAGAGGCAGATGTGGAGGAGTCGCATTACTCGTCAAACGTACCTTGACGAGTCATGTCCTCGACGATGCCGCAGACATAAATGGGGACGGAATCACGGTCCAGGTCCATCACAACCACCTGAGAGACCCAGGAGCACGCATAGTCATCGGAGATCTAAACTGCAAGTCTCCGGCATGGAACAACAAGGTCGAAGACAGGAATGCAAGGCAGCTTCAGGAACACGTCGATGCCCTGGCGGGGGTCATCGTCGGTCCGGAGCAACCAACCTACATTCCATTCGGCCTTGGGCGACCTGCGGTACTGGACATAGCCATCCTCCGCAACATCAGAGAGGAGTTCGAGATAGAGACCCTGGTGGATCGTCGGACCACAATCCGATTTTACTAACACTTGGCACATGGTCTAGAACTCGAGATAGCTTGAGCACCAAACGGACCAAACCATCCGATCAGCGGAGGAACTGGACAACGCAGTAGAGGAGCTGGAGAATGCTGTCCTGCGAGCGCACGAGGACAGCACCCGCTCCGAGACTACGGCAGTTCCTAGACACCTAAATGGTCCAGCACCGCACCATATTAGGCACCTGATCAGGGAGAACAGAAGGCTCAAGCGAGAACATCTCCAACTGTTGACAGAGGAGTCGAGAGTTGCGCGAAACAGAGCATCGCTAGCTCTGAAGAACGCACTCGCGGAACTCCAAAACAGCAGATGGAATGCAGCCTGTGCAGAACTAGAGACCCAGGATGGTACGGCCTGGACTATGCAGCGAAAATTTGGTCGTCAGCGCACCACGATCCCCACTCTTCACGGCCAACGCGGCTTGGCCTACTCCAGTGAAGAAAAAGCCGAAGCATTCGCCGATTCGCTAGAATCCGAATGCAGACTCAATTACCATGAAGACGAGGACGACAACCACGAGGAGGCCGTGGAAGTCGCAGCCGAAATCATGAGGACTCGACCACCTGGCCAGGAGACGGATCACCCCTCCAGTCCAGAGGAAATCCGTCTGATCATCCGCAGGTTGAAGGTCAGAAAGGCGCCAGGAAGGGACGGTATCAACAACAGGATGCTGAAAAACCTTCCAACCAAAGGCATTGCTGCGCTCACCAACATCGCCAATGCCACTCTGAGACTTAACCACTTCCCGCGGCGGTGGCGGGAAGCCCAGGTTATAATGCTCACCAAGCCAGGCAAG